GTAGATATTTTGTAGATTCAAGGAACAGGACTAAAAAAGGAAGTACAATAAAAACGTTAAAAAAAAAGAGATATTCACATCTCCATCGATAGCTTTATTTTATTTGATTGCACGCGGCGTGTCTCACCGGTGGTTGATCGCAGGCAACCCTCACATCCACATCTGATATCGTGCGGCATGGGCAGAGTCGCACCGCGGTCCAGTAATAACTTGAGGATCTCGTAGTTGTTCCGCTGCGCGGCCAGAATCAACGGCGTGATTTCCGGCGGATACCTCGCGGAGGCTGGATCGATCTTCTGCCAGCTGTGAGTGATCTCTTTCGTAGCTGCGACAGCAGATTGCACGGTTATTTTATATAGAAAAGCATAAGATTTCGAGGAACACGATTGTAAATTTTGTGTTCAATTTCCTTTCAGTTGAATCGGAATTTTATCCTTTCAAAGAGAAGGGAATGATGGAATGTGTTAGCGAAGATGTAGAATATTAATTTCGTGATATTTCCTTTTCTTTGAACTTTGGCAATTTTGGACAAACGATTTTCCTGCTGCCAATTTTTCCATTTTATCTGGAAATTTCTTTCGCGCATGGGAATTTTATTTTTCGAAGGGAAACGATGGAATGTGCCACTGTAGTTGAAGAATCTTAATTTTACAATGTTTTCTTCAGATTTTGGAAATTCTCGGCGAAAGATTTTCCAACCTTTTCAATTTTGTGTTAATCTTTTCAAGTCGCTCAAGTTTTAATCATTATTTTTTTGAAATGTTCTATTTTTTATATATCCTTCTTAGAATAGAGGAAGAAGGTTAGTCGATCTACATACAGGGTGAATTTTAAAGAAACAGCGCATCTTTTGAAATTTTTATGAATTTTTGCCTACATTGAGTTTAATTAGATAAAAGAAAATAGTATTTTCATTGAAATTTTCATGAATTTTCGGCCATATTAAGTTTCAATATTTTTCATTCCAATTCTGCATTATACTTAATAAAAAAATCATCACTCACGATTATCCTCCGGCTCATAAGCAGCAGTCATAAGTTCCTCATGCTCCAGCAACAACTCCACAGCTTCCACGAATTCCTGATCGATCGCTCGTAGAAGTGCATCTTTCGTCTCGACGCCCATCACTATTAATAGTTCCACCATTTCTAGGTTTTCTGCGTCGATTGCTAGAGACAGCGCGCCGCGACCCAAACTGTCCACGCAATTTATGTCCAACGACTTGCCCTGGAATTGAAACGCGAATGTTACGCAAGGAAAATCACACTAGAATGGAAAAAATGAATTTCGTTGAAGACTCACGTTTATGTCACCCTTATGAGCAGACTGGATGAATCTTTTAACGTTTGTCAGGTCACCTCTTTCAACTGCCAAGAGGTATTTCTTTTCTTCGATGTTCAGAGGCCTGGGAAGTTGGACCACGTAGGTCTCCATCTCGTTTGGAGAAGCTTCTAGTTCTTTTGCTGTCTTTTCGTAGCCCATTTTGGACCTCTGATGGGTAAAAGAAGATTATTTAAGTGTTAACTTGTAAGAAAAAATGTAAGGAAGAATAATATCCAGGAGTGAAGTAAAGGGAAAAATGTTAAATTGACGAAAGAGCAAGTAGTTACATATGTCGATAATAGATATTCTTCAGAATTAAGAAAAAATTTTTGGCTCCTTTCTAGATCAATTAATGTGAATAGGAAATCTTCGCTATTAAAATAAAGATGTGAGAGTCTCAAAAATATTTTTTTCAGAGCAATTCTGGATAATATTGACACTTTCTCAGATCACAAAGATTTTCGAGAAAAGATTGTGACTGAAGGAATGTAGATTAAAGCTCCACTTAAATGATCCAACATTCACTTCGTCAACTCGTTCAATTTTCCTCAATTCTGTTAAAACAAACTCCACCGCACTAATTAACTCGTATCACAAAATATCACATTCCACCCCCATTACGACTTCGACGACTATATCTCCTTGCGTTCCACTTACAATCCATCGTCAACCACGTTTTCAACAATTTCACTATAACTTACGAACCTTCTTCTCCTACTCCCGTTACGTAACTGGGTCTCAAATGATATCGATGGATCTCTCAATGGATCCTCCAGTTTTTACAGCACCACTGTCAAAATTGCACACGAATTTGTTCACCTGCAGTCCGTGTGTAGTCGTAGGAGAAACCACGGACGTCAGGTTGCTAGTGTAAATTTACGAGAAAACGACGCTGTGCAGTGCCGGCGCCGCTTATATAGCGGATGACGGAAATCGAATTACGAGTATTAACCGAGACCCTGTTTATTTGCCCCGTCGCTTAAGGTGGCGTACACATGCGGACTAATTTGCTTATCGATATCTCGTTAGCCACGTGACGGTCTGTTAAGGGGTACTCGAAGCGGCCGTCCGTGAAGTGTGGCCGCCATAATGGCGGTGGCAAAGTACTGTCCTCATGAGAGTGGCTGATGCCATTTTCCTACGAGATCTCTGTGTTGTCTCACAGAACTGTGCTTATCATTCTTACGTTGATGGTTAATTAGTGGATTGTTGAAGATCTGGGAAAGGGAAGGGAATAAATGATGAAAATGTTGGAACGTTTTACGGTTAAGGAATGTTGGAATGTTTGTGGTTGAGGAATGTTGAAATGTTTTATGATTGAGGAATGTTGGAATGTTTTATGATTGAAGAATGTTTGTGGTTGAGGAATGATAGAATGTTTGTGGTTAAGGAATGATGGAATGTTTTATTGTTGAGTAAGATTGGAATGTTATATTGTTGAGTAATGTTGGAATGTTTCATGGTCGAGTAATGTTGGAATGATGATAATGGATAGGTGGGTGTAAAATATGGAAATTTGATCATGTTTTATGATTGAGGAATGTTGGAATGTTTTATGATTGAAGAATGTTTGTGGTTGAGGAATGTTGGAATGTTTATTGCTGAGTAAGATTGGAATGTTATATTGTTGAGTAATGTTGGAATGTTTCATGGTCGAGTAATGTTGGAATGATGATAATGAATAGGTGGGTGTAAAATATGGAAATTTGATTACGCATTTTTTTAATGAGAATATTCTTTATTCTGGAAATTATGTATACTTCAGTTCATACGTATGCTTGTTCTTTAATTTTTGATACTATTGTCTGCTTTCTCGTTTGGGAGAATGTAGGATTGGATCATAAGGTTTCTCTAGAAATTTTTAAAATTTCTTTCTTACTTCTTCCGATTATTCCCTGTTTCTTGGTGTTCGAATTATTAACTGTATTAATTGAATTTATAATGGGTAAAGTATTATTACTCTTCATAGTGTAAAAGTTTCGAAAAGTGGGGTTCCAATGTTCGAACTGTCTATAATAATTATTTCTTTACACCTGTGCTTCACGCACACATATCTTTTCCTTTTAAGTTTTATAGGATTTAAGCATTATACAATGCAATAAAGTATCGACGATGTAATATCTTCCAAATTACCAGACGAAAAAAAAGCGAATCTTCAGACGCGTTTTAGCACTTTCCGTTGTTATGGCTCTGCAACACGATCGTCCTTGATATTCTTTTCACAGGATCGTTTTACGCGGATTGTTCTCTGGAATAGCTTCTAAAAGTTACGATACCCTTAGCTCGTGAATCTTTCAGATCGATTTGTCCACCGCCAAGCATCTCCTTCTCGACGATAGCTATGGCACGATAAAGTATAAGTTGCAATATATTTAGATGAATTAGCTAATAAATCCTTCTAACGAATATCACTTCTTTGACGGATTCTTTCTATTTTCATTTCAATGTATCTAAAAAATTCTCAACTTCTCCCTATTCAACCTAGAAATCCTCGACTTTCAACCGTAACGAGGACACGATCGACCGCCTAATTCCCACCTAACGATGTCCTCACGAGATACGCCAAGGAAGACCGTCGCGACGTCTTCGCGGTAAACAGCTCAAAGCGTTAATAAGAGCTGAAACAGTATTAAGGCCGATTATCCACGCAACCTGCTCGGTTACAACTGCGAAATTCATTAAACTGGACCCGTATTAAAGTGTTCCCTCTTATGGCTTATCAGGTCGCCGGATGAGGGAGGTATGAGGGTGAAAAAGAGCCATTCAGCTGTTTGCACTGCGGCTTCATCCACCCTTCCTCTCGTTGCAGTCGATGTTTGCTCGTTGGCTGCAACCACGTAGATGTTCCACGATCATGGATCTAACCCAGACCATCTAGCAGCTTCCGTTCGCCAAGCTTTTTCCACTTTGACCGCATTGTTTCGAAGGAGAGTCGATTGGCTGGTTTAAGAGGACTTTTATTCGATTAGTTGGATGATATCAACAGGTCTTCGATCAAGAGTGTTCGTTTGTGCTTTAGAGACAGGTCGGTTGTGTATTCTTTTTATTGACAGAGCTTTGGACTACTGTAGAATTTTCTATTTCGTAACTTTACTTTCATTTTTTAAGCATTTTTCGAATTTCTTATCTGGCCTGTTATTTTCAGTACAATGATTTGTGAGTTTTTTGTCTATCTCTGATTTTTAAATACATTCTTGTGAATTTTTTCATTCAGAGAGCGTTGAAGTCCTGCAGAATTTTGATTTGATGTGCCATTTTGTATGGACCTGTGATTTTTTGGGGGGTTTCATTGGATTTTTTTGGAGGATATCAAGAAATATCTGATGAACCTGTTTATTTCAAATACCATTTTGTGAATTGTTTTATTTGTAAAGCTTTCAAATAATCTTTCTTCACATCTGTTCTTTTTAAAATTCTGGTTTTACGACATTTTCGAAAGTTTCCCAATTTAAACATATCTTTCTTCTCTATTTTATGTCAAATTCGTAATAGTTTGGTATCGTAGATTACTGATAACGAGTAGAGAAATTTTCTCTTAGTAAACTATGTTCCGTATTCAATGTGTATTTGGTTATTACATCGATAAACACAAAAAGAAGTTTCTTCCTGTTTTTTGGCTTCTCTTGTGCACAGAGGAACTTCTAAAGTTATTCGAAGGATGTTAAACGCAAGGAAAATAAAGGGACCCATCGATGCTGACTCAAGGAAACTGCAAAATGTCAACAGTCTGAGAACTCGATTCCCTGGCGCAAAAATAATACGCCACGTGTTAGATCGAAGGGTGGCGATAAAGTAGACATGAAACTTATGGTGTACCGTAGGATATAGCGTTGCAATTATACGTTACACACGTGTGTGTAATGTTGTAGTAATCGAAGAGGCGTCGTTATCTTTGACTCGTACTACTTGATCCTATAAATTATCAATTTTTCTATCACTTACACTTTCTCAAACTTTTCCATTATTCTTACGTGAAATACAATTTCATTTCTGTATTAAAATTGGATATTTTCATTCATTTTTAAATATTCTAATTGAACGGCTGAGAAAAAGAAGGAAAATATTTCTTTGTGCACAAGAAATCGAAAGAAATGATTCGCAGCTAAACTAATGATTAAAATAAAAATCTTTCTATCGTGAACTTATCTCTCAAGGCGGTAGTAAAAATTCTCAAAGGGCAATTTTAAAATAATTTTCATAAACAAGAGGCTATCGCAGTTGAATTTTACTGAAATATGGAATTTCTTTTTTTCTTCTTTCTCGTTAAACTTTTCTCCGTTAGAAATATCACAATGAGTTTGCAATAGATATCGTAAGAAATAATTTTAACATATCGCATTCCATCTAAATCAAAGAAAGTTGACGAAAATATTATTCCTCCGTGAAAATGAATTTTTCAGTTGAAAGTAGTTACCGAAGTATGTTTAATGAATTCTTCCACTTCTTTCGATACAATAAGACGCTCTATACAAGGGAAAGCGTTTAGATTTCTTGGATAAATGTCCATGTCAACGAACCTTCTCGGTAAATGGTCGATAAACGATTCCGTTTAACAAGCAATCGATGTCAAACTATTGGGAATCTATCGAGTGAAAGCGGATAAAGAAGCGTCTTTTTCCGTTGGTCGTTCGGAAGCGAGAACTTTCTTTACGCGGGAAAAACGCGTCCGTCGGACGCAGAGCGGAAAGAAAAAGGATGTAAGTGAGGAACCACGGTGCGGATAAATCTCTGCCACGAATCGTCGCGATCTTCAGTGTTTCGTTTCGTTTCCAACGATAAGTAACCAGCTATCTCTTGTATTCTTAAAGGTACTCGTTGTATCGTTGAACGTTCGCGAATTTATCATCGGTTAATATGGTGTCGACAGGCTGTGTGATAAATTTTCCAAGGTTGTTCATGCTTTTCACTATTTTTGTCATCTTTCTTGGGAGTTGTTCGAGCGATGAGAGCACCGAGAAGGTTCCTGTGAACTTCCGGTACAGAGAGGATCTCGAGGCTGCCGCCAGTGAACACGGAGGCAAGTGTTACCCCTCGAAATTTCGCGAGGTTAACCCTTTGCAATCGAGTGGCGACTGAGTAGCGACATTAAATAATCGCCGCTTGGTAAATAATTGATCAAGTCAGAGATCAGATCTACGGGCCCTCTACTTTGATTGCCGTAGTGAAATAGAGAATACGTCGAATATTTAACACGTTAAGCGCCATGCCTGTGCAAGATTGCGATAAGACTGCATGTGTTTTAATAATACTCGTTAAAATTTTTTTGTGGTAACAAGTAATATTTAGGTACATTCTTTTATAATCTTCAAATTATTTAAAATTTATTAATAGTAGAATGTAATTTTTTAAATTGTATATCGTCTGTCGACTGACTGACGCGGCCCGAACGAAAAATATACTGTCAGTCACCGGTGACTGACATGGCGCTTAACGTGTTAAGTAAGATAGTATGGTTTGGTTTTACGTTAATTTTAGAAAATTTCTAAGATCCGATTTGCAAACTTTCCTACAGAAAAATCAGCTCCGAGTGCAAAGGGTTAAAGTTTCTCGGGGGTCACTGAATTTGAGAGAGAAAATTAATTTCCTATTTTTTTTTAATAAATTTTTACGCTTCTGCTGTGTGCAAACAATTTTTACACAGTGTTCAGCGTCTACGGATTTTTTATTTTTATATTTTGTATTTTGTTTTGATAATGGGAAATTACTCGGGAAAAAGGACTTAATTGCAGAAAGTAGAATGAAATGTCATTAGTTATGTGATAAATATTAATAATCCCAGTTATCGTTCTCCTTTCGTCGAAATCAACAATTCCGCCGGAAACTTTCAAGGTGAAGTGAAAAGCTTTATTCGCGATTAATTCCAACAGGTGGAAGCAAGCACGAGGAAAAGGGTGGCGGCACCGAATACGAGGAAGATCATCGTAGCTTCGACGAGGAGAAGGGCAATAAGGTACAACATTGTTATCCAGACAAACTTTGTGCACAGAATGGTGAAATTCTTACTTAATTATACCTTAACAAACGAATTTACATGATATAATATTTCTTGAAAGCTGCTTATTTTAAGAGGTCTCTAAACCAGTGAAAAATTCGAAATATAAACATTTCAATTTATTGAATTTTTTTTCATATAACATATAACATAGTATCAAAGAGTCAACCCAAAAGTTTGAAATATTACATGAAAAAATTTCAATAAAAATATTCAGTTTATTTAAAACTTGACTTCAATGTTTTTAACGAAAAATCAATTTTAAAGAATTAGAGAAACGAAAATGAATGATAAGTTAATTATAACACTCGAACCAAAATTGTCGCAAAAATTCGTGAAGCAATCTAATACTACAAAAAGTCCCAAGAATTCCTCAATTTTCATTCAAATCTTCGACACTTTCGATCCACCTTCCAAAAATCTTTAAACCAAAGAATGAAGAATTAGAGAAAAGAAAGAGCACTCAACTGTAGAATGTGATTAGTATTGCAAGGACCTTTAAAAATTCCTCAATTTTCATTAAAATCTTCGACTCTTTCGATCCACCTTCTGAAAATGATTTTATCTCTACATTCATCAAGACGAGTCTCCAACACGATAAATCCTTAATCCAAAAAATCTATACATCACCGGTAAGCAGTAATTCTGAATCTCGGTGCAATATCACAGCTGCAACAAATCTCTCGCAGGATTCTCTTCCTCTGGCGGCCGTGCTCGTCATTGTCAACGTCCCTGTCCAAGACTCTCCCTTTTTATCGCCCGTAATATTAGTGTCCAGCCGGTTCCCGTGGGATTATTTATTATACGGTCGTTGTTGCGCGAACGACATCCTTGCAGCGGCCGAACGACGCTCCTTTCTTCACCGGGAAAATATTCTTTCGTAACGACGAGACGGTATTTCGCCCTTTTGCAAGACACACGCCTCCGAGATATTGCTTCTCACGTTTATCCCAAAGGGCATGCCGGCCACGTTGGCAATTAATCCGTCCATGAACTCGTCGTTTGTCTCGAGATTGCCTGTCTGCTGGAAATTCTTCGATTCTGCGATTTTTCGCCGTGAATCCTTCGTGTGACCCTCGTAGTATCCTTTTTTACGATATGGATGGTAATATTGTATGTTTTTTTGGTGGAGTAGGCTTGAGTATTGGAAGTGTTGGAGGTCCATTTTGATCAGGGGAATTTTATATAGTGGCAATTTTTTTGTATTTGAAGGGTTATAAGTGAAAATTTGGGAATGTCGAAGCTTGGAATATTGAAGCTGAGAATATTGGAATGGGGAATGTTGAAGCTTGGAATATTGAAGCTGAGAATATTGAAATGTGGAATGTTGAAGGTGGGAATGTTAAAGTCGGGAATGTTGAAGCCTGGAATATTGAAGTTGTAAATATTGAAATGTGGAATATTGAAATGTGGAATATTGAAATGGGGAATGTTGAAGCCTGGAATATTGAAGCTGAGAATATTGAAATGTGGAATGTTGAAGCTTGGAATATTGAAATGTGGAATGTTGACGGTGGGAATGTTGAAGCCTGGAATATTGAAGCTGAGAATATTGAAATGTAGAATGTTCAAGTTAGGAATGTCGAAATTATGGTATAATGAGAAATGAGGATAGAATATTCACCTAAGACTTTCAACGCTGAATTAGGTACATTTTTGTAAGTTAAACGAGACACCAGAATATTATAACACTTTGTGATCATTTACTTGGTAAATTCTCTTTCCATCAATATTTTCTCTCTTCTCATCATCCTTACGACACAAATTTCCTCCAATCTGTAATTTTAAAATATCCTAAATACAGAACAGTAAATATAGAACATCCCCAAAAGTCGAGTTAAAAATCCAAATATGCCTCACCAAAGAAATACAAATTTTGAAATACTGTAATTGAATTCAAATTCTTCTCTCTACTCATTTATACTTGGTTCAAAACAGGGATACAAGGTGTTCCACGAGTTCGACAAAGGCGAGAAAGGCCATCATGATAAAGAGGACCACAAGCGCAAGTACGACGAGAAGAAGGGAGAGGAGGAGAAGAAGCACGAGGAAGCCGATCACTATGACGAGAGTCACCATGACGAAGAAGGGGAAAAGGGTGCAAAATTTGACGAAGAGGGCAAACATCAAAAAGGCTACAGCACCAAGGGAGAGCACAGTGTCTTCAAAAAGGTTCAATTAAAAAAAGAAAGAAGAACTGACTATCAACTAAGTTTATAATTGAATTAATCGTCGCCTAATTATCGTTGAAAAATCTCCGACACAACTTTCCTTTGACACCCGCTAAACTTGTTAATGAAGAACAAGTGTCTAACAGTTTTTTGCCTCTCGTTGAAGTTTTAACAACTTCGAAATTCAATTTGTTAAACATCAAACACAGCGACGGGTGTATCTTGCGTTTGGGGAAAATTTAATTAAAAAATTATGAAACCTGGTAAATATTATAGGACGAGTACGAGAAGAAGCATGATTTTTATGACGAGTATCACGAAGACGGGGACCATGAGAAACATGGCGGATACCATCACGAGCATGAAGGTAAAAAGGGTGGACACGAGAAGAAAGGACACACTGATTCTGCTCGTCGTGAGGTTTGTTAAATTGACAAATTTCATATAATTTTGATTAACTGTAATTGTATATTGGACCATTTTTAGAATTAAATATCTTCAGTGAAATTTCTATATTTTAGTTAGAATTTAATTCGAATTTAAATATGACCTCGACTAAAATTGGAAGACGTTCTTTAAATGTAACGAGCTTATTCATAATTCTATTCGGCCATGTTCAGCATTGGCTATCCTTAGAATTGAGGCTATTAATGGAAAAAGGGCACATAAGTCTATGATTTTTCCTTAAATCGTTTATGCTGAAGCAAGTATGTGTTATATGTACATATAAATTTTTTATTAAGTAATAAGATAATGAAAACTTTGAAATCGATTTTCTTGAAATGGCATCTTGGCAATATAAAAGTTTATATAAAATTAACTATTTTAAATTATTTAAATTGAAATTCCAATCTCTATGTTTACATTATAGTCAGAATTTAATTCGAATTTGAGATTTTAACTAAAATTGGAGAAAATTGGAACATTGGACAAATTTTTACATTTTCGATAATCAACATCTATCGATATATCAGAATCACCATGGTAAGAAGAAGAAGCACGAGGAGGGCCATCATCATCGCAATCAGAAAGGCCGAAAGCTCGACGAAGGCCACGACAGTCATCATCGACACGATAAGAAGTACGGGAAAAAGGGCGGACACGAGGCAGGGAAAAAGTGGTTCTCCAGCAGTGGTCATTAAATTCCCCGAGAAAGTATGTTCCTCAAACACGAATGTATGTTTCGAAAGCTGTCTTTCAACTAGTCAAAAGAGAAAAATATTTCCTCGTGCATATCGAAGTTCTTCGAGGAAGAAGATTCAAAGAATGATGCTGTAGTACGTTGAAAAAATGTTACGAATTAGAAAATAAAATAATAACTGGTATATTTACAAAGTTATTCGGTGAAAGTTATACAAACAACTTATCGAAACGATAAAGTTTGTCGAATTATGTCTGCACTTTCTTTCGAAGTGACTTTGGTCGTGGCAAAATTCTCATGGAAGTCAACACATCGATCCATTCATAGAATTCCCGAGCAAATAGACGGTGGAACAGAGGGGAGGAAGTAGTCGAACATGGGAAACAGAAAGCACAGGCGTAAATAGCGGTGCAGGTGTGTGGAATTGTGTCTGTTCGTTGACTGTTCGAGGTGACGGGCTTAATAAGTCCAGTTACCGTCGAAAGCTCGAGGAAATGGAGTCTGCGTTATTCATACGGTGTCTTTATTCGAAAAGGTTCGACCACCCACGTGCTTCTCGTTTAAATAGTTACGAAGACTTTCGTTATTACTTGTGCAACTATTTGCAGAATATATGAATTTCCGGAATTATAGTGGAACCTACTATAAAGGAAATCACATTGTTTATGTAATTTTGAAATTTTTATGCTTCAGTGGAAAACATTTGGAACAGAATAATGATTAAACTTTCTGATTGATGGTAGAATAAGAAGTGATTTAATTAGAGGATTCAGTATTGTATTTTATTGCTAGATTATTTAATTTAAAATTAGATTATACAGGCTCATATGTTCATCCAATTAAGTCAGAAGGAATTTAAAGATTCAAGCAGATTCAAATTTCACCATCTCTATGTATAATTCCTTCTCTTCTACAAAATTATTTTATCAAATTATTCAATTATTATTCAAATCTTGACAAATTAAAAGACCTCACAAATTATCTTACAACATTTATCAAACTGATTTTAAACAGCTACTCGTAAATTTTACGTACCTAATATTAACATACATTTTGAATGAGTGTCCCTATTACATTATTACTTATCATAGAATCATTGATTATAATTATCAATCCGGAATGATAGCCAATGATAACCTCATTACTTCTCATAGAATCAATGATTATATCATAAACCAATGATAACCTCATTTCTTCTCATAGAATTAATGATTATAGTTATCATTCCGGAATGATAGCCAATGATAACCTCATTACTTCTCATAGAATCAATGATTATAGTTATCATTCCGGAATGATAGCCAATGATAAACCTCATCACCTCATTAATGATCATAGAATCAATGATTATAATTATCATTCCGGAATGATAACCAATGATAACCTCAGTACTTCTCATAGAATCAATGATTATAGTTATCATTCCGGAATGATGACCAATGATAACCTCATTACTTCTCATAGAATCAATGATTATAGTTATCATTCCGAAATGATAGTCAATGATAACCTCATTACGTATCATAGAATCATTGATTATAGTTATCATTTTGGAATGATAACTCTAATCAACGATTTAACGATAAGCAATGATGTACCGAGGACACTCATATGTTAAGAATTTTTCAAATTAACCTAACTTTGATAGCTCGTTTTAATAAATTTCGATTTAGTTACGAATTTTTGCTAAATTAGTTTAAGTATTCATTCTGTATACAACCATTTATATGATTTGCATTTCACAAAAAGAATTGCAGAAGCAACGGTGAGAAAGTTTGACGGACACGAGGTCGAGGAACAATGTTAAAACATAGCAGGGGAAAGATTCCTCGTTTGTAGACAAAGGAAATGACGAAATATCCTCGATCACGGTTGTCGATCAAGCGAGAAGTCGCTCTCTAGCAACTATTCCGGCGTGAAAAGTGAAAATCTTGGCGTGAAATTGGCCACGGTCCGGTAACACTGCTCCATTGTCGCGATCTCGATGCCGTATGAATACAGTCGCGCTATCGACTCGCTAGATTGCGAACGTTCACGCGACCGGAAGCCAGACTCCTCCTATCGAACTCCTTCCACCTCCTTTCAGGAGCAACGTTTATTCGCGGAGTTGAAGGTTAATTAGTTTCGCTGAACTGTATTTTCTGGCTGGTTTTCATTTACGATTCAGGAGGGCTTTGCACCGTGTTACTTTCTTTTTCTTTTTTAATAAATTAATAACTAAAGAATTATTCGGATTGGAAAACAATGTTGGAAAGTCGATAAATATCGATATGAGTTGAACTCTTGAAAGCTTTCTTTGCACATGTTTTGCACGATCGTAGCAAAATAGTAGAGTTGAGTCAGCAGTAGAATTGACAAATGACAGTTTTTGATTAATGAAAGTTCCATTTCCAAATTGTTTCAGTTCACTCGTTCAAAGTTGAAATTAATATAATATGATGTGATATAGAATTATTGTAGGTAGGTGGATATCTGTAATTTATAAATTTTTAATATTGTGCATTCTTTGTTGCTTTTTCATAAATTGTTCAAAAATTTTGAACAGACTGCTGTGCAATTATTTTTCGACACTTCAATTGTTCATTTTTAGAATATATTGAAGGTTTAGAAATAAGGTGTAGTACCTAGCTCACGTAGAGAAGCAACGTGTAAGACTGTAAGGGGAAACGGATCGTTTGTAGTCAGACCTCCCTCTTCTATCATAGTAGTACTTCACACTGCAACTTTTTCCACGGTTACCTTTAAACGTTATAATAACATTATTCTGTTTCCCTGGATAAATCTTGCATTTTCAATTTTAATAAAATTATAAATTTTCCTTTCTTTACAAAATACAGAAAACTTGTTAACAAAAGTATTTACTAGAAAAGTATACTCCCTATCATAAATAAACACTCAAATTTAATTTTACAACAGTACTCCAATAATTATTAAATAAATAAGTAAATAAATAACATTAACAAAATAGTGCCACATATGCAACATGTTATGAACAATTTTCAAATGAACACCAATCTTCCTCTTAACATTAAATTGATACTGCATCTATTCACAATTTGCATATGAAAACATATGTGACAGAGCAAAGTGTTCATACTCATTCTCCACGAAAAAGATTTCGAAAAATTGCATTTCTTCTCATAAGCCCAATGTTAAATTGGCCATATGTTAAAAACACCTGTATCAAAGTGCAATCTCGAGGCAAAGTTCAAGGGTAGGCGTAACGAGGTCAGTCCTCCATGAATCGAATAAGATCGCCCAGATGAGCTGAAGATTGCGCCTCTGGCAATTTAAGGAACACTGCTTGCAGCACTAATGGCGAGACTCGTGGGTGGTGAAACGTCAGAAACTCTGATGTAGACCTTTGTGAATTTTCTTCCTTTTTGTTCTTCTCTTTTTCTGTCAGCGAATTAATCGTCCGAACTAATTCTGGAATTCTTTCTTTCCTCTCGCCGCCCACGCAGCATGCTGTCTCAACTAAATAGAGACGCACTCGTTGGACGGCAAGTTGATAGAGCGGGCAATTTGTTTCGAGACTGAAGCGTGACCATGTCACGCAGCCAGATGAAAGTTCATAGTGCGTTTCCACTAAGTTCTCGAGAGGGTGCAGGGTATAGTGGACTTTTTCGAGGGTTTGGTAAACAGAGGATACTTGGAGAGTTCGGGGAAGAATATAGTGAAGGTTGATGGTGCGTAAATATAGTTTAAAATGCATTCTGATATCGAGAAGAATTTCTTTCTGAGAGAAAATTTGGAATAGTTGGAATGATGTGATGTAAAAGGTTCAAGCAACTATATCAACCTTTTCCTTAAATTGAACGATTCATATAATTTTAAAGGAAAGCATTTCTTTCTAAAAGAAAATTTGGTATAGTTGCAATGATATGATGAAAAAGTTGAAAGAACGTGAAGGAAAAAGTGTATTATATTCAACTATATTTTTCAGAAAAATTTGATTTCATTTTCCATGAATTGTATTTATTACATACTTCATGAATATTTCATTTTCGAAAATGAATAGGTAGGAAGAGGACCAGTTTGTTTAATCACTCCAATTTGCGCATAATACATTTGTTATAATTGCACATGTAATTGGAAGCAATAACTCGATTGTATTGAATCGTATAGTTGTAACGATATCATCGTCGACGGTACTGCATAATTAATATCGAAACACGTACACGTGCAGAGTTAATCGCAACGAGCACCGTTTAGTTAATTCCCCAGCGGCATTTTAATAGAAGCGTGAAGCTCGACGAACAGGTAAAGAAATTTGACACATGATTGCGACAACAGGACAATCGATTTATCGCATGTATCGAATAACCGCAATTCCTCAATTAGCGCTAAAGAATTTCTAATTTTTACATAAGAAGATCGGCAAGCATTTTTCTTAGAATTAAAATTGAATTTCGAAAAAATAAATGTTTTCGTTTTTATTTAAATTATTTTCATTTAAATCAAAGTGAATAGTGCAAATTCTGCTTGACTGCAATTACAGAGAATTTTACAGCAATTAAACGAAGAATAATAAATTGAAATTTCCTGTATCTCCTTTTTTGCAATTATTTAAATATTATTCTAAATTTCACCGACTGTACTACAAATCAATTATCCACAATTCTACGATAAATCAATTATTCATAACTCAATCACACAAATTTCAATTTTTCAATTGTTACCCTTGGAATGCAACGCGAGAGGCAAATCGTACCCAAAAATTGTGGCAATTTTAATTGCAATTATTCCTCATAACACTGTAGAAAGTGTAATACGATCGAATGAATGATCTCAGCGAGGCAACGTTGTTTCTTTCGTCGCAAAATCACAGTTCGTTCACGTCGTGTACTTACGATCTACAAAACGACACGGTGTGTATCGTTCTTCGTCTCGCGATTTCACGCGCGAAGGGACGACAGCCATGTTATGCAATCCCGCGAATGGCCCAAGGAAACTTCCAGTGTCTCCAATTGATTCACGTAATAAGATACACACTGTTTT